GAGAGAGGGAGAGGGAGAAGAAGAGTTGAAACATCAGTGATGAGAGAGTCGTCATTGATCGGCTGCCTCCTGCATGCCTCCAACTGGAGATGGAGCCCACAACCCGGGCATGTGCCCTGACCGGGAAGTGAACCATGATCTCCTGGATCCTAGGTCGATGCTCAACTGCTGAGCCACACCCAGCTGGGCTTGAGTCCCCATTTGAAGCTTTCTGCACTGCACACCTTGTGGCTCCCTCAGCTGGGCCTGGTTGTGTTTGGAAGGGATCAAGATTCGTACCATGGTCTGATTTTCTATATTTTAGTTGTAATTCCAGTTTGGTCCTGGGAGCGTGTCAGTGTAGCCTCCACTCAATCTGCCACCACTTTGGAATCCCCTAAATTTATTTTTTTAAAATGTATTCATAGCCCGGTGGGGCGTGGCTCAGCTGTTGAGCATCGACCTAGGACCCAGGAGATCCGGGTTCAATACCCAGTCAGGGCACATGCCCGGGTTGTGGGCTGCAGCCGATCAATGAATCTCTCATCATTGATGTTTCTCTCTCTCTCTCTCCCTCTCCCTTCCTCTCTCTGAAATCAATAAAGATATATTTTTTAAAAATAATAAAAAATGTATTCATAATATTCTGTCATATGAATTACCATGATTTCTTTAATACGCTGGGCTTGTTTTTACACCTCTTACTGCATTCCATTAATTTGGTCCTCAGTACTATTGCATCACTACACAGTGTTTCAACTGTAGCAACTTTACCTATTTTTATGTTGTAGGGTTTGTTCCTACCTACCCCTAACCATTACTACCCTTTGTTTGAATTTTTCTAAGATTTTCTTGTTTACTTTTCCTTCTGAACTTTTAGAATCACCTCCTCTGTTCTAAAAAGTTGTTAGAATTTTTATCAGGATTTAATTAAACTTGTAGGTTTAGAGAGAGCTAATATCTTTGTGATATTAGGTCTTCCTAACCCTGAACATGATATGCCTTTTTATTTGTTCAGGTGTTCTTTTTGTAGTCCTTAGTGATGTTTAAAGGTTTACTGTTTTTTCTTTCATTGATTTTGAGCTTTTTCCATGATGTTTAATCTTTTTTTATTGCTAGCAAAATGTAATCTTTCCTTTCTTGGTATTTCTGAATGGTGGTTTACATATGTGGAGGACTTTAATTTCTATACATTACTATTAAACCCAGCTACCTTTACTGAGTTCTCTTATCTTTTATGAAGTTTGTTTGTCTTGTGTCTCCTAGTTTTGCAATCAAATCGCCTGTTTCTAGAGTGCCTCTGGGTTAACACTGCAAAGAGACCAGCTCTGAGCCTATTACACACGGACCCCTATTTATCAACACAACTTTAAACTCACTTGAGGCCCCTGCCATCTTCCACTTTCAGGGGCTGTGTGGCTAAGTCTGTGTCCCCAATTCGTATAACGGAGAAACCAATACCTCCATCTCTGAGGCACTGGATAGAATCAAGGAAGATTTAAAATAACTTTGATAAAGTGTAAAGATGTATATACTTCTGTGGCAGGGGCACTTCTTTTAGGCCAAGCTGAAGAACTGCACCCGGAGCCCATGCGCTTGAGACAGAGGAGCGCAGGAAAGAGCTGGAACAAAGCTTCCAACGTGGGCGGGCTGCCCTGGGGCCTCAGGAATTTGACTCTGGACGTGGGAAGCAGCTCGGCGTGGCCTGCGAGGCAAGAACTGGGCACTTCGGTGCCCAGGTGGGCGGGCGAGGCCCTCCGCGCTCAGCCCGGGAGCCGCTGGACGAACTTCCAGCCTCCGGGGCGTCCCGGGGAAGCGGGCACTTGCCCCCAGAGACACCCCCGCGGGTTTGCTGAAACGCTGGGTGAGCCCTCAAGCCAGCAAGAGACCCCGCCGTGTGCAGGGCGCACCTCGCTATTGTGGTCACCTCCGCCCGCGCACGAGACTGGGGTCGCGCCCGGCAGTCAGGCTCCCCTGGCGCGGAGCCCCGAGTGGAAGGAGCCTTGGGGGGGGGGTCGGTCAGCGGAGGAGGAAGACGAGGTTCCCGCGGCCGAGGCAGGTCTGGGACTACGGGTCTCACGGCCACGTCGAAGCCCAGCAGTAGGAAACCGGAACTAGAAAATCTGGGTAACGGTGAGAGGGGGGGCGTGACTTCCGGTGAGGAGGCGGTGCAGCCACGTCGCTTCCGGCCAGCGGAGGTCGCCGGCGCCTGCGCACTCGAACTTCGGACTGGCCGCAGTGAAAAGGTACCAATCGCAGGGCGGGGCGGGGCGGGGGCGTGGCGAGGGCTGTCGCTCCCGGAAGTAGCCCCTTGCACGCCCCGGAACTCGAAGCCCCCCCCTCGGGCTCTGCCGGGTCCTTCCGGTGGTGTTTGCGGCCGGCCCCTCTCCACCTGCCTCGGGAGCGCCGTGGGCCGCCGTGGGCGCTGCGCCCGGCTTCCCGGCCTCACCAGCCGGGGCTTAGCGGGCTTAGCGGGCGGCGGGCAAATCCCGAACCCCCGGCCTTAGGTAAGCCGGGGACAGGGCGCTGCGGTCCGACTTCACCGAAGTGGACGCCGAGGCAGGGGGAGGGGCGGAGGCCGCTTGCTCTAGTCCTAGGCCGGCCTCCCCTGCCCGGCGTCTCGGACACGCCAGGCGAGGCCGGAATGTCCCGCACAGCGGCGCGGCGCTCACGCTGTTGTACACACTGACTCGGCCCTTCACACGCCTCGAGGTGGGCGCTGTGGTGCGGCCGAGGCCGAGTGGTCGCGGAGGCCGAAGCCCGGCCACAGCTGGTGGGCGGAGCCGCCGCGGTCTGACCCTGAGGCTGCCTCCGCCTCGGCGCTCAGTCCACTAGGGAAGAAAAGCAGCCTCGCAGAGGAGGCCAGAGGAGCTCACTCTCTGCTGGTGTGCCGTTTGAGACGCACCTCATTTAATGACGCTTTTGCGTGACGTGAAATCTAATGATGCGTGGTTATGGTTCGAACCATCTTTCTTAGGATTTGCATGTGGGACAAAGCCCAAAAATACATAGCGGCTTGCTCTACTCTCCCTTGCACACGTTCCTCCCAACCTTTTTCTCGCCACCTGTCCAGGTGAGTGGGGGAGGGAGGAGAAGCCGAGGACTTGAGGGCCCAGTAAGCGCTTCGGCCCCCCTGGGGTCGGGGATAGGTAGACACCCGCCTCTAGCCCAGTGCAAGAACTGAGAGAAGAGGTGCCGGTGGGACTGGGCAGAGTGAAAACACAGAGCTCTGGCATGGTTACCAAAGGCCCAGGGTGGGCGGAGGTCTGCACAAGGCCCTGGGGTGCAGCAGGCACAAGAGAAAGGGAAAAGCGCTCCCTTTCCCTCTGGCCATACACGTGGGAAAAGGCCTGGTAAGGTTGGTCAGAAGAGTCTCTGATCCATGGTGCCAAGGCCGTCCCCCCCCCATCCCACACTCAGCCAGCAGGTTGCTGCCTCAGGGAGTACATGGCTTCCCTTTGGGAATCTAGGCTCCTGCGAGTAAACTGCCTCGGTTCCTTCTCCTACCTACACTCAAGGACTTACTGCCGCCACAGCCATCCTTCCTTCTTTGCTCTATCAGAAGTAGATTCTTCCTTGTCGCAGGGGATAAACCCACCCACCGCTGGTGTTCTGGAGCCCCAGCTCTGGCCTTTGTTCTCCCTGTGTTCTGAATGTGTACCTTCCCCCTCTTCCCACTGCACCTGTCTCTCTGTTTAGAGACACAGCCAAGCCTTTTCCCTCCCTTCCCAAAGCGGGACTCTCCCGACCCACTTCTGACCTTGCAAGTACCTGCTTCCCCCACTTCTCATTGCACAGCCCTGAGCTCCACCTTCACCCACTGACCTGTGACCTTGTCTATCCTTTCTAGAAAATCTCTTGGCTTCCCTAACATCACTTCATAGTTTTCTCTGTCTCCTTTGCCTGTCAGTCATCAAGGTGTGTTCATCCTCCACCCTCCCCACAGTGTCCATGTGGCCTGGGCAACCACCTCCACGCTTCTACCTCAGGCATTTCCCCTCAGTTTCTAAGGAGACTCTTACGTGGATCCATATCTTTGGCTCAGACCCTTGTCCCCTCACGCATGTATCCGTCGTATGTACCCCTGAAGATTTACTACAGAAGAACCTTAAAATCAGTATCTCCAAAACTGAACTACATTAGTAAATGGATCGCTAGGGAATTCCTCCTTTGTATCCCTCATCCACATCTCAACTCAAGCATAATCGGCCTCCTAAAAAGCTCTTCAGACTGTCCCCTCCCCTCCAGTCCCTCTGCCTTACCTGCTCCGGCCCTCCTTACCTCCTGCTCCCCAGTGCCATGCCTGCCATTGTGGCCCCACTATGGCACCCTTTCAACTGCTGCCCGGTGTGCAGTCCGAGAGGCCCCATCCCCAATCTTGTAGTCCTCAAATGTGAGAAGTGACACAGTAACTTCTTACTAATAAAGTACTGAATATTTTATATTCAAGATTCAACGTTGGTTGTGTTCTCCACAGTGTCAGCCTCACTGTCATTCTGATGTGCTTCAGTGGAAGAGAAGGGTGATCACTGTCGATGCCAGTGACTGTACAAGATCCTAGATCTACCCAGGGAGTCTTGTCAGGAGGTAAGGATCCTGAAGCAGTAGCCTGAGGCAAGTGACCCCTTACCAGACAGAATCTAAACTCCACTGTCCTAGACTTGATTTACCTTCAGGTCAGCCTGAAACCTGGCCTCCGTAGCACTTCCCAGCACTTGCCTTGCTCCAGTGCCATGAGCCCATTTCCACGGTGTCTTCTTGTCATGAACCCCAAGTGCCAGCTGGCAGTTATTCTCCTGTGTTTGCATTTCTAGGGCACAGTGCTGACTCATGGTAGATATTTGATGAATTTTTGTTAGATCCAGAGTATCTGCAGAATACAGACACACTGAGGGAACAAAAGGCTCATGGGGGAAAGAAACGGAATTGGTGTGACCCAGGCTGCAGCCCTAACACACAGGTTCTTTCCTTTTCTCTGCCATCATCAGTGAGGGCAGGGCGCATGCAGACTGCTTGTGGAGGCCCAGCGCCAGCTCTGGTCTTCACTCTGCTACTGACCATCACGTTACCACTCTGGGTTTCTGTTTCTTCAGTCATGAAATAGAACTGAGGTAAGTCCCCTCCAGTTCAGACATCCTAGATTACTACTATTTGAACCAGGACAGTGTCTTGCATTTCATTTGCACCTTTATTCACCCCTCCACAGTGTCACCTTCCATGGGGCTTTGGACACTTGATTTGGTGATGACCGAGATCTTCCTTGATGGGCCTGAGGTCATTGCCTCTTGCTCCTTCCAAGGCTTCTAGCTGGAAGGAGCCTGTCTGTATCATGTTGCCCACACTCCTCCCTGGACAGTCTGCATGAGCCTCCTCAGCGGACTTGTCACCTGCAGAGGCAGTCCTGCCATCTTAACCTGTAACGTCACTCAGTGTCAGAATGTACTGGTTTTAAATCTTGTTTGGCCAGCATTTTATTCTGGTCTGAAGAGAGGAAGACTCCTTTCTTCCTGAACTTTACGGTGGGATTCTTAAGCCATCCTTCCCTGAACCTTCTCTCTCCTAAGGAAACACATCCTAGCTCACTAGCTCATTTTCTTTTCTTCTCTGCCTATTTCTCTTCTGACTTCATCATGTCTCTTTCCTTTTGAGAGCTCCAAATTTGACCTAATCTCCAGGAAAATGAATGAGGGGAAAGGAGTTAAGGATTGTGCCTAGATTTGGGGTCTGAGCACCTGGGTGAACAGATGTCTATCTGAGTTGGCTGTAGGAAAGCAGGTGAGCCAGGGAGAGGTTGGACAGCAGCCAGCGTGTAAATGCAGTCCTACCTGGGGAGATGGTGCAGCCTGGTAGAAGGTGTAGAATGAGAGAGGCTCTAGGAAGGAACCCCAGGAAACATCTTTAGGGGACAGGCAGAGGAAGAAGGACCAGACAGAGGCTGCAGAGGAGGTGCAGATGAGAGGGAAACAAATTGTGGTGTCCCAGGGCCATGGGGAAATAGCCTTCCAAATGGAGGCTGTGGGCAGATGCTTCAGTTGTTGCAGAAAAGTCCATTGGGGTCACTGGGAGCCTTGGCAAGAGCAGTGACTAGGAGTGGTGGGGGCCAGAGCCAGAGAAGAGAGGGTTTCAGGGGATGGGAGGTGACAAAGTATAACCAGCCCTTCAAGAGTCTCTGTGACAAAGAATGAGAGGACACTCGGGGGGCCAGAGTCACTGGCATTAGGAGCTACTCCATCCTGTGTTCTCTGTTGGAGGCTGACTTCTAGAGAAGGAATGTCAAAGGATCTGAGCCAGGCCTCTGGCCTAAGCAGCCTCAGGCTGCATCACTCCTGAATAAGCTATGTAACCTATTTATGATGCCTCCCAGTGTGCCAGGTACGGCCAGGTGCTCAGGATGCAAACGCCAGTAGGCTCTGCCCCCTCCTGGCTTGTGCTTACAGTGTCTAGTGCCGCATCTCTTCCAGGGAAACCGGCCTGACTTCTTGGTGAGGTCAGACCCTCTCTGGGGTCTCCCAGCCTCGTTCCTGCTCCTTCATACCTGCATTATGGCTCTGGTTCTACCTGTCATGAGTGAGTCTTAGTCACGTCTGTCCCTACGCCAGCCTGGAGGTCACAACGCATGCAGGGGCCTTGCCTGCTGTATTCTGTGTCCGCTACACAGGAGAATTGCCAAGTGTACACTAGGTTCTCAGTAAACACTGAGAGAAAAAAGAGAAACACTAGTTAGTTTGGCAAAGAAGCTGGACACAGAAACCACTAATGTGCAGAGGGCTGCTCCATTGGGTCTGGGAATGAATGGCATCCTTCTCCAAGGAGGTTTGAGGTCTTGAGAGTTTTGTCTTAGGGCTGATTTCATATTATTTCTCTATGCCTTTTGTCCTCTGCTGTCTTCTCTCCCCTCTTGGCCTCACCTTCCCCCTCAGTGTTCCTCAAAGTTGAGTAGGGCAGCTGAGAGCCGTTCTTTTCATCTTGCTTTGCAGCCTGGGCTCATCTTCTCATTTCCCCAAGTTCCCAAGCATGTTGGAAGTGGAAATAAAAAAGCCCCATAAGAGACGTACACCCTCAGGACCTGTCTCCCCCATTACCAGACCCCAGAGTCCAGCTGCCACAATGACTTCTCCTGGCTCCAAGTTCAACACCAGAGCTACCAACACCTCTTGTGGACTTGGCTGGGGTTCCAGTGGGGACCTGCCAGAGACTGAGGTCAAACTTGAGTTTGTAGACTTAGAGGAGAAGGCCAGCAGTGGCCACAGGAAGAGCAGACCCTCTGGCTCCCAAAAGGGGAGTGAGAGGGATCTGCCCCTGCAAAGTAAGAGACCCCGCCCCCTCCGCAGTGGCTCTTCCATCCCCTCACCTGACCAACTGTTCCTGGAGGAACAGGAGGAAGTAACCCCGGGCCTACAAGTCTCTGGCAGGAAGAGAAGAGCCTGCTCCCTGGGGAGGCCTGGTTTCCACTCAACTTGTGCAAAGAGCCAGGCCATCCTGGGGCAGAATAAGCCAAAGGGAGACTCTGAAGTCTGTGGTGTGAAATCTGGGCTTGGGCAGGAGCCCTCTTTGCAGCCTGAGAAGGTGTCCAAGCAGAAGGCACGTGGACAGAGGGACGGGGGGCAGCAGGCAGGAAAGAAGTCGAGAGCCCCAGGGCTCAGCTCTGGGCCGGCCCCTTCTACTCCAGTGCTGGTCCAGGCAACCAGTCTGGACAGGTCAGAGGTGGGCCAGCCTAGTGAGACTGATGAGGCGAAGCAAACTGATATCCTCATAGCCCATCTGGATAGACAGGTACGACGCCTCAAGAAGTGGAAGAAGAGGCATTTGCTTCCTGGTGTGGGGGAGGAGAAGTCCCTGCCGAGCCTTCAGAAGCTACCCTGCTTGAAGAAGCTGGTCAGAACTATAAAAGAGACCAACGGCTGGGCTTCTCAAGGGCATTGCCCAGGCCCTCAGGCCACCACAGGTCAGAAGCCCTCATTGGATCGCAGACGGTTCTTTCCTGTTGACTCTAAGAGCACCTGCCATGCCACCTGCATTCTGTGTCATGCTGACATTAGACAAGGCAAAAGTAAGGGGCAATCTAAAACCTCAGGCCTGCTCTGTCCCCTGGTGAGTAAGAATGGGCTGGAGAGGGAAAGAAGGCCAATTGCAGCCAGCCCAGGGAGAAAGCGGGTAGGGGCAGTGAAGAAGCAGAAGGGCCTGCCTGCAGATGCCACCAGCCTTGTCCGTGAGGGTCTCCCGTCAGGACATTGCCCAGATGGCTCACCCTCAGAAGACAATGACGGGCAGCTGGCCCCAGGGAGGTGTGAGCAGCTGATACTGGCTCCACCACCCCTGCCCACTCCCATCAAAGACGAACCTCCCCCAGTGGCAGGCGGAGAGGACCAAGGTGGTATATGTGCTCCCAGCCAGTCCCGCTCCCAGGCCTGGCACCAGAGCATTGCTGAGCTACTCTGCAGCTTGACTTTGCCACTCTCCTTTTTTTCTTCCCCGCCCTTCAGAAGGTTTATGGCCCAGGTTGACCCTTGCTACCACCTGCCGCCTCCAGCTTTCTTTTCTGACAAAGCCTTGCCTCTGCTCCGCGAGTCGATGGGTGAGCAGGTGCGTCGGGAGATGCAGTGGGCTGAGGGCAGCCGCATCCACCTCACCATGTCTGCGGCAGCCCAGGAAGTGGTCGCGGAGGACTACGTGGCCATCACTGCCCACTGGGGGGTGATACAGCCCCGTAGCTGTCAGGTGGTGTCAGGGACCCTGAGGAAGCAAGCAGTGCTCTGCGTCCGAGGCCTGCCCCTGGAGAGTACTGTGGAGGACAGGCAGCGGGAACTGCACAAACAGGTCAGCCTGTGGCTGGGCCGTGACTCCCTACAACCAGGCTTCCTGGTATCGAGCGGCTGCTCCAGCCTGGAGCAGGCGGTGACAATGGAGGGCTACACTCTTGTCCCTTGCTTTGCCCACTGCCTCAACTCTCTGGTGAGAAACTTTCTGTGTCACCATCATAGTGTCCAGATCATCCTGGGCACAGCCAGGGCCATCTGCAGTCATTTCAAAGGCTCTTCAGAGGCCCGGCGGCTCCTCATGCAGCTGCAGCAGCAGTGTGGCCTCCCAGCCCATCAGCCCTTCTGGGAGCTCTCAGATCACTGGGTCTCGGCCTACCACCTGATGGAGTGGCTGGTGGAGCAGCAGCGGCCACTGCGAGAGTATGAGGAGAAGCACCAGCTGGGGAAGGCTGGCATGGCCCTGTCGGCCACATTTTGGAGCCTGACAGACAGCCTGGTCAGGCTCCTGCAGCCCTTCCAGATGGTGGTCCAGGAGGCGAGTGCACCGCAGACTTCCTTAAGCCAGGTGCTGCCGCAACTGCGCTACCTGCACATCTTCCTGGAGCAGGTTCAGAGGCACTTTGAGGAGCAGAGCGGCGGGGAGATGGGTGCGGCCATCCGGTTGGCCCAGGGCTTGGCCCTGCAGCTCTCCACAGACTGTCAGCTCAGCAAGCTCTTCCACCGTGAGGAGTTCGTGCTTGCCACTCTACTGGACCCCCGCTTCAAGGGCCAGATTGAGGCCATCCTGCCTGTGGGGGCCGACATTGACCACTGGAATCAAGTTCTCGTGTATAAGGTGAAGGAGGTTATGGTGTCTGAATACTCCTTGTCTCCCTCTCCCTCCTTGCAGAGCCCCAAGACTATGCGTGTGGATGCCACCCTGAGTGACAGAGTAGCCGAGGGCCCTGGGGCAGAGGGGAATGGCCAGAAGGAGCCAGAAGTGCGGAGAAGCAGCAGATCTAGGTCTTCGCTGTTGGGCCAGAGGGAGAAGAGCTTGCTGGAACAGCTGGAAAGTGTAGGGCTGCTGGCATCCCGGAGGAATGGAGCTTCGCTTTCCACTGAGAACCACCTGGCCACAGTCATCGTCAAGAAGTACCTGCATGAAAACGAGACAGTTGGTGCCCAGGAGGACCCCCTGGCTTACTGGGAGAAGAGGCGGGAAGTCTGGCCAGCCCTGGCAAGACTGGCCACCGTCTATCTGTCCTGTCCTGCTACCAGCACCTTCTCTGGAAGTGTATTTGCTTCCCTTGATAGCCGCACTATCATGGAGAGCAACTCCCCTCTCCCAGTGGAGACAGTTGAGCATCTCCTCTTCTTGAAGACCAACCTGGAGAATTTCCCCAACTACACCACCTCTCCCCTTATCTTCCCCAGTGGCGACCTGGCGAAGGGGGAGCAGACCAGGGAGTCTGGCCCCACTGTCTGATGCCCTCAGAATCTGCCTGGAGGAACTCTGCCATAGATGAAAGGAGAGAGCAGTGTTGTACTTAGGATATCAGACAAGGGCAGCCAGAATCCTAAACCATTTGGGAAGAATGGGGACACTTTCTCAATTCTTGACAGATTGCCTTTTTTCCTTTTGTCTGGGAGGTGGCATTTTCTGTCTACCCATTGCTTAACCTACTTCTAGCACTATGTGCATAGAAAAGGTTGACTCTGTTGTGAGTTGTACTATATAGGTTTATAAGTGGTAATGCTCTTTTGAAATACTGGTGGGTATTAAGGGCCCTAAGTGCAGCTTGTCCATGTGTATCAAGGTACACATGCCCTTAAGAGGTCTGGTTTTTCTTGGGACAGGGACAAGGGGAGGTGGCATATATACTCAGTGGGATACATACTCAGCCACCTAGAACTGGGTGTGCTATGAAAGCTTTCTGAAATTGCTTTCACTGTAGAAAGAAAGAAACCCTAGGAGTAGCCGTTTCAAGAAGGAGGTGTATGTACATGCACATATCAGTCTTCTTAGGGTCTGTACTTTTTCCTGTTGCCAGGCCCCATAGTTGCTGGATAGTTCTTCTTGCTAGAACTGCTCAGCTAGTGAGGAAGAGTGCTAGGATTGAAGAACCCTGCTCTAGACTGGGACCTGGAGGAAATGGGCAGAGGAAGGGTCCCCAGTTCGCTGAAGCAGCCAGGTGACTGCCCACTGAGGCTGCTCTGGGTCGAACCATTTCTTCCCTAGATTTAGCTCTGTCCTGGTGGACTCCTGGGCATCATTTTCCAGCCCATTTCCTACATAGGTAAACTGACAGCAAAGGCTGACTGCTCAGGGCAGATGCGCCTCTCCCTGAGACCCGAGTGTCAGTTGTGTCTTAGTTGCTGTCTCATCTGTGTAACCAAGTCCTTGGTGCAGACTCACACATTGGGTGAGAAATGTTGACATGGGTGTGGATGAGTCAGTCTCCTGTTGTGCAGAGCTTGCTGTTGGCCTGTGCATTACAGCAGGTGGCTTTGCACAGATGGGTGGACACAGGCCGACCTCCATCCTGCCTAGAGCTGCCTGGTTGAGGTGTGCAGATTTGTGGTAAGATGGGGGCCATAAGAAGGTCAAAGGTGCTTGTTGCACAGGAGGAATGAGGTGGTACTGTTCCTGTACTGCAGGGGAGGGAGTAAGACCCATGGCTGCTGGAAGGCATGGGACCTCGGGGCTTGGGAGCCTGATTTCCAGCTTTATCATCATCTTTCTGCTCCACTGTTTCCGCTCCTGCAAAAAGCGTTTCTCCCAGCTTCTAGGTGGGAGCACAGTTCTCTCCGTCTCCCTCCCTTGCTCTGCCCGCTCCCCTTGATCTTTCCCACCCTTTGCAGCCACTATGTCCATCTAAGCCAGGGGTGGGGAATGTCCAGCCTGCAGACCATGTATGGCCCACAAAATCATTTGTTCTCGCCCTGCCAAGGCCTCACCAAAGAGAAGCAGTTCCATCCATCACATTAGGGGTGAGTTAATTAAGTGACCAAATATAGCAGGCTAATTTTTAAGTTGGTAATTTTGTATGGCTCGTGAATGATGTTATAAATATCCAAATGGCCCTTGGCAGAAAAAAGGGTCCCCACCCCTGATAAGCAGTCACCCAGTTCCTCAGGGCATCCAGCCCTCACCCGTGTGGGCTGCAGGGGCTCACCTCTGCCTGAGAATGCCCGTGAGTCCAGTGGGGCGTTTGAATACTGTTGCATCATTCCCTCCTTGAAAGTCACCATTTCTCCCTCTGGCTGCTCAGCCGTATCCTTGTTCAGCCTCATAAAGGTTGGTGTCTGACTTCTACCCTTGACCTCTCTATTGTACACCACTTAACTAGTCGCCACTCTCACCCTCAGGTAGTGTGTCTGGGGAGGGTATGCAAATTCCTGCAGAGAGGCCTACAGGTAATGAGAAGTCTATGTCCCCATAGAGCCTGGCCCGCTCTGCCTGCGTCCCTTCAGCCTAGAGTATCAACTGTCTCCTAAGCCTGATGCCACATGGTCACCTCAAACTGGAGGTCTTGCTCCCCCAGCCTGTCCCATCTGTGTCCCAAGTGTTTGAGAAGGGAGCCTCTGCATCCAGTCACTAGGCCAGGTCCCTGCACCATGTTCTAGACTCTGGTCCCTCCTCTGCACTCCACTGCCTTTGGTGGGGTCCTTGTCTCACTAGTGTTTATGGCAGGTGTCTTGTGCCCCTTTAGTACCCATCCCCTGGGCCAGAGCAGTTTTAACCAGAGGCACAGGGGACTGTCTCATTCCCTGCTAACAAACCCCTGCAGGTCTTGTTCACATAGAGCAAGCCAAATGACAGTAGATGCCTCTAGTCCTTTTTGGAAAGAAATTAGGTCAAAATGAGAACTTGCTGGAGTGTTGCAGACCAGAGGAGAGCTTGGTAGAGATGTAGGGACTCCCTTCTCAAAGATGGAGCTTGGGGGTAAGCTCTGTCAGCCTCCCCAGCTCCCTGGCCAGGAGTATGGGGCGAGCTCTGGGCCTGGTTTCCTTGGAGAGGGAGAAATGCAAAGTGGCCTTGATTATGGAAACACAGACTTGGTACTGCTGACACTCTGTAGTCCCAGGTTTTGTCAGGAGGGAATGGTCCCATAGTTCTTTGCAAGTGTCACCCTGCCTGGCCTGGGCCTGACCAAAGTCTGCAGCGCTGGGAAGTGGCCACTTGGAGCAGAGGTCCCTTCTTGTTTTCCTCTTTGCTGAAACCTTGGCCCCTTTGTGGGCGGCAGCGACCCTCCCCCATGCCTCCGCCCTCGTGCTTGTCCTGCACTGGCACCTGGGCTTCTGTCCCATAGCCACTGGTGACTTGAAAGACCGCTCCCCTGCCTTTCTGGAGCCAACTTTGGTGCCACCCGCCCCCCCTCTCCAGGACAGTCCCCACCTCTCTAGTCCTCTTGCTTTCTTTGGAAATCTCATGTTTGCAGCTGGAACAGTGATTGGTGTTGTTTAGAGTAAAGAGCTCATTTGGATGGGTGGCTGGGGGTGTTTGGAGAGCAGCAGGGAGGTGGGTGGCAGAACTGGCACTGCTGCCTCTTACCCCAGGCTTTACTGTCCCCTCTGTCCATCAACCTCAGTTTCCTCACCTAGGACTGAACGCTGGTCCTTTGAAGGACCAGAGGTTACAAATTGGCTCACGGAATCTAGAAACCATTTTGAATTTGCGTTAAAAAAATTGCATTAAGAACATTTTTGAGTGAATAAGCCAGGCCCAGGTGCTCCTGTTTATGTTTGCTTATGAGAGGCTCTCCCAGGGAGGGGACAAAAGAGGTAGGTGATGGTGGTGACCTATTACCTATTCAAAAACATATTTAAAGGGCTAAAAAGAAACACCTCAAAACTAATAAGAGATCATGAATGGTTATGGAAAAAAGAAAATTCTGAAATTTTGCCACCCAATAGATATTTGGAAAATGGGGAACATTGGTAACACTGGGCCTGGGTGCTAGCTAGCACACAAGGGCTGAGTTGGGTCCTCTTAGTGGGGGCTGGGCCACCTAGGTTTCTGGCCTTGGCAGTAGAGGCTGGGTGGCACTTCATGCTGTCACCTGCTTCAGGGCCACAGGGGTGTTCAGGAGAGGCTTGCTTACTGTTTAACTGTCTCTCCTTAGGGACCTGCTGGCCCTTGAGCAGGGGTGTTGGAAGTAGGCGTCCGGCATTGCCCACAGTTAATGGTGCCTTTTTTGGGGTGAACAGCCAGCTGACCCCCGGTGGTACCCGTGTCCCTGTGACAGACTGTCAAGGCTCAGGCCACCTGGACCAACTTCATCTCATGGAGCCTCAGGGTGAGAAGCCAGGAGAGGCTGAAGGGGTGCGCATCACGCCCCAGCTGCTCAAGTCGCGCTCAGGCGAGTTTGCCCTGGAGTCCATCCTGCTGCTGAAGCTGCGAGGCTTGGGGCTGGTGGACCTGGGCTGCCTGGGGGAGTGCCTGGGTCTCGAGTGGCTGGACCTGTCGGGCAACGCGCTCACCCAGCTGGGCCCCCTTGCTTCCTTGCGCCAGTTGGCTGTCCTCAATGTCTCCAATAATCGGCTGACGGGGCTGGAGCCACTGGCCGCCTGTGAGAACCTACAGAGTCTCAATGCTGCGGGCAACCTGCTGGCCACCCCTAGCCAGCTGCAGAGCCTGGCTGGCCTGCGGGGCCTGGAGTACCTGCGGCTCCGGGACCCTTTGGCCCGGCTCAGCAACCCACTCTGTGCCAGCCCCTCCTACAGGGCCGTGGTCCGAGAGCTGCTGCCAGGCCTGAAGGTCATTGATGGTGAGCGAGTGACTGGGCGTGGCAGTGAATTCTACCAGCTGTGCCGGGACCTGGACTGCTCCTTGCGGCCTAGCTCCAGCCCAGGGCCTGGCACCACTGAGGCCCAGCCCTGGGTGGAGCCAGGGTACTGGGAGTCCTGGCTGACCCGGAGCAGCTCCATCCTGGAGGAGGCCTGCCGGCAGTTCGAGGATACACTGCAGGAGTGCCGCGACCTGGACCGCCAGGCCAGCGACAGCCTGGCTCAGGCTGAGCAGGTGCTCAGCCCTGCAGGGACTGCCTCGTCCTTTGTCTTCTAAATGTGGCACGTGGCCGTGGGATGGGCACAGTATGGTCTGCTGCCCACATCTCCCCTCTGCCTCTGCACTCGTCTTCACGGTTTCATCACGCTGGGCTATTTGTTTATCCCTGTTCCTAAGAGCAGAGCCCTCCCTCTCACTCCTACCTCAAGAAAATTCCACTCTGCGCTCTTCAGGGAAGCACCTCCCCAGCTCCTCGAGCAGGTGTGAGGGCCCGCATTAGCAGCTGGCACCGAGGCCGCGCTGTGCCTACACTGCACGCCTGCGGGGGAAGCCACGCCTGGCTGTGCAGGCCTGAGACTTAGTGGAAGAAACTGCTTCTCCCTAAGGTTTCAGGCGGCACGGGGGTGGAGGGCCTCCCATGCAGTGGCCCTGGAAGTGGACATGGGCAGAGCACGGAACGTGGCAGCTGGTGTTGACCCCCTTCCAGACCCGCCTGCCCCCAGTCCTGTGTCTCTCCAGAGCCTTCACTGCTGTTCTGATCCCTATTAAATATTTTGTTTTAATTTGCATCACTGCCTGTCATTTCATATGGGCATGAGCTCCTGAAAGCAAGGTGTCCTGCCATGTCTGGTCTCCTGCGGGAAGGAGGAGCACACGCCAGCCCCTGCCCCTGTTCTGGAGCCCTGCTCCCCCTGGGCTTTGCTTCCTCCTGTGAGTTTCCCAGCCTCGCCTCACTCACCCCTACCAGTCAGCTGAGGAGACGAGAGTGCAGCAAGGGGAGGAGAGATGGCGGTTCTGAGAGCAGTTTTATTAGCTCTGGCATCATGGATGGTCCCCCCCGGGCCCGGGAAGGGAGGGCTGACTTTCACTGGTCGCCTCCCACAGCTGTCCAGAAAGCAAGATGAAATTCTGGAGGAAAGGAAAGAAACATTTGGGGGTGAGGGAGGCTGTTTTGGTCCTGGTCCAGCTTTAGGAGTTCCTCCCTCCTCCCACAGCCCGGCACCAGCCCTCGCTTCCATCCAGTACCCCCCAGTGCCGCCTACCGGTCAGTGCCTCAGCCGGAGGCAGGTTTCTGGAGAAAGGCAAATTGTCCTGGGAAGTAGTATCTGTGGGGTCCCTCTCTGGCCTGCTCCACCCTGTGGCACTGGGCCTCCTGGTGCTCCTTGGGCCCCTGCTGGAACCAGCATCGCTCAGGTGGGAGCAGGGCGCTAGAGGGCTGTCTGCCTCTGCCTGGTCCACCTCCTCACTCCTCACCCCTTTTCCCACTCCACCTCTGCTGAAGCCTTGCCTTTTCTCACCCCTCC